CTGCGGCCGGGACCGGGACCGGGTCGGTGGTGGTGTTCCGAGGCCTGACTGAGCCGCGTCGGTTCAGGGTTTCCGCTGCCGTGTGGGGGGTTGTGCAGTGAAGGAGCGGGATCATCCGCGGGTGGTCTCGGAGACAGCGGATGAAACCAACCGCCTGTAATCACTTTGTTTTGGTGAGTGTTCGTGCCTGCCCCTGGGCAGCTTTGTTTCCATCCTCCTCGTTGCCTTCGGGTGAGCAGAGATCATCCATTCAAAGTGATGGAACCGTTGTGGTGAGCAGGACGTTGGGTATTAAAGGAGCAAAATCACAGCTCCAGCTGTAGAAGCAACAGAGAGTGAGATGTTCCTGTGTTTATAGTTTTGGGAAAGCTCGAGGAGGGAAAGATGGGGGTTTTTTTTGTCATCTGGCCATCAGAGAAGATAAACTTGCCTTCCACAAAGCAAAAAAAGAAATATATTGATGATGTACCAATATATATTGGGATATACCAATACCAAACAAATGTTGTTAGTGACAGATCCTAGAACAAGGGGATGAGTGACCTGGAGGCTTTCTCCTTTCAACTTTTTGGCTCCTGGTGTGGTTTTTTATTATCATTTGGGTTGGTTTGGGTTTTTTTCCCCTTGGTTTTGGTGTCATTTTGTTCACTGGAGCTTAGAGGCTGTACTGGATAACAGGGGAATCCAAGATGAACTGTCACTTGTACCTTGGTAAAGATTCCCCCACACTTTTTTTTCTCAGAGTTATGGAGGAAGAGGTGACTGCTCCAGAGAAAATGACATCTCTAGAAAAAGGTAAGTGCTTCACATGGCATCTGAGCATTTTTGGAAGGAAGGCAGTGCCTGTAGCTGTGTTCTGAGAAGCTTCCTTGCCTTCACTCCTTGTAAGGAAACTTTATTTCAGTGACATTTCGGCTGAGAACTCGGTGAGCTTGAATAAAATGAATTTCAGTAAACATTCCCAGGCATCTTGGGGGATTGAGAGCAGAATGCTGGGGTCTTTTGAGTAGAAATGAAGCAGAACTGGCTTCTTAGCTCTTCTTAAACCTTCACTTGAACCACTAAAACACGTGGTAGGAAGTACTTCAGTCTGCTAAACTTCTTCAGCTGTTAGTGCTATGCAGCCAATAGCTGCTTGTCCTTTAATTCTTGGGTTTAAAATGAGACTGCTGATTCTGCCAGCTCCCAAAACCTGATTTGGCTTTCAGCCTGGGAGAAATATGGTCAAGAATTTTCTTTGTACTGTCTCTTTTCATGTCTGCCTTTAATTCTGTGTGGCAGAAATCAAGAGGGATAATCAAGAAATCAAGAGGGATAATCAAGAAATCAAGAGGGATAATCAAGAAATCAAGACTGATAGAATTCAGATAGATGTTTGTGTCTTGGACTGTTAATATTGATGAGCAACACACACTTGATTAAGGACTTTTCTGACCTCTCCTTGCTAATTAATTGCTGCTGCAAAGGACTCTTGTACACGTGCAGCGTGCAGTTAACCTCTGTAAGCTTGAAGCCCAGAAATTAAGTTCCAGTGAGACTTTCAGAACAGGAAAAGTGGTAAACTTTCCCTCTGTCCTTTCTAACTTTTTAGCTGATGATGGCTCCTCCCCCATCCGAGGCCCTGGAGATGGGATGGAAACAGAGCAGAGAGCTGGGGGGCTGGAAGGAGCCCCTGGAGGCAGCGCCACCCCCCGCCACGTGCCCCCCAGCCCCCCTCAGAAGCCAGTCCCTGCCCTGAGCCCTGGGGTGCTGCAACTGGGTAAAGTCCCTGCTGAGAAATCCCTGGAGATTGAAGCCATTCGTATACTAGTCCCCAAAGCAGCCATCACCCATGTGGTCCCAGCCAAAACTAGCAAGGTGGCTAAATCACTGGGGCTTAAAGGAGACACCTTGCAGCAGTCAGATGGAGCCACAGACCCCAAGAAAGAGCAGCTGGAGCTGAAAAATGCCATCCAAAAGCTGAAGAACTCAGAGAAGAGGCTGCTGCAGGATAAAGAAGGGCTCTCAATGTTGCTGCGTGTGCAGACAGAGGTAAGAGGGGAGAGGGGAGAGGTGTCTTCTCTGCACTGCTTTATAGGAGCAGCTTGTGGATGTCCCCCCAGGGAACTGCTGGGACACTCCAGCTTAAAGAGTTTGCCTTTTGAACTCCTCAGCTCAGACACAGAGCAGCAGCACATGCAGGTAATGCAGTGGCAACAGCTGGAAGAGCCAAAGGCTTGAAGCTGGGCAAAGCACATCAGGAGGCTGCAGGGAAATGGGTCTTGATTTTTCTCCTCAACCCCACCACTAAGGGAGAAAAACATTGTGCCATTGAAAGGGTGACTAATTTTCCACATAATTTCTGGATACTTCAATCCTTTGTTACCTTATTGATTCAGGACTTGAATACTACTGAAACTTTTGTGTAGCAAGCTTTCATTCTTTGGCTTCTGTTAAAATTCAAACAAGACTGAATTGAACATTCTGATATCAAATATTTACGCTCACTTGAGTGGTTTGTGAGCCCTTCACATCCTGCACAGTGGCTGTGTGCCCTTCTGGCAAGGGAATCTGCTGTGAGCAGTCTGCAGTGGCTTGGCAGGAGGTGCTCACTCCCTGCTGCTCTGCTTGCAGGTGAATCGGGAGCTGAAGAAGCTGCTGGTGGCCTCTGTTGGGGATGATCTCCAGTATCACTTCGAGCGCACGGCTCGGGAGAAGAACCAGCTCCTCCTGGAGAATGAAGCCCTGGGCAGGAATCTGTCTCAGCTCTCAGAGCAGTTGGAGAGGATGTCCATACAGTGTGATGTGTGGAGAAGCAAATTCCTGGCAAGCAGGTATTGCCTCTCACAGAGCTCTTCCACAGTGTTCTCCTGAAGTCTTTTATTGCACGTGCCCCTTGCAGTGCCTGGCAGGGTGTTGTGTGTGCAGAGGGCAGCCACAACAGCTATTCTGACACCTACAAAGAAATCTGAGTGTAGAGAAAAGGGACAAAGAAACTCAAGATCCTTATAGATCTGAATAGTTCTGCTTTTCAAAGCTGGTCCTTTTCAAGGGGTCCTAAACCTCCTGAAATGGTAACTATAGTTCTGGTCAGAACAGCAAGAGATGTTCCTCGTTCTGCTAGACTGTGTGGGGTTTAGGGTTTAAAAATGTCTTCCAGGACAGCTGTCTTGACTTGTCTTCAAAATAATTAGCTTGATTTTCAGCCCCACTCTCTCCCAGTTTGATATAACCATCAGCTCACAAAGAAGTTGATTTGGTTAAGAACTCTGCTTAAGGTGAAGTTGATGGAAGTGTAGTTGTCTTAGCAGATCTGTAAAGAGTGTTCTAGGATTTTTAATCTACTGCACAGGGATATAACTGACTAAATTTTAATTATGATGCTTGATCCATATGAAAAAAACCAACTTACTGCTTGAAGGGTAATAGAATACAGTGTCCTTTCTTTCATTTGCTGTTAAGAGGTTTCAGCAGACTGAGTAAACACCAAATACTTGTGGTTCCATCTAGTTACTGCCCCTGAGAAGGGCCAAGAGGTGAATGGATGCAGTCTGTGGCCCAAGCTGAGAGAGCTGAGTATGAAAAGGTGTGACTGCAGCATGGCTGTGAGAACTGGGCTAGGAAAACATCCTGTATTCAGCTTTTTCTCTCTCAGGATCCTTGTCCACCATGTCCACTTACCCAAGGTGTTTTGAAACACCTGTTTTGTCTTAAGTGCCATAAGATTGTTTAAAATCAGCAAGTCAAAACACAATCTTGCACTTGCATTCACTGTGATTGAAGATTAATTAGTGCTTTGTAATTAGGTTGACACAGGCTCTGTAGGAGGGAGAGGAGCAAGAGCGGCAGCTTCACCCTTAGCTGGAGCTGACCAAGTACAACCTGTAGCAGAATAAAAGTGACTTTCAGACTGCTCACTTAAGAGTCCTGATGGGAGATCTCTTCTGCAGGGTTATGGCTGATGAGCTGAGCACCACCAGAGCCCTCCTGCAACGACAGAGCAGGGATGCCCAGAGTGCCCTCCAGGACCTGCTGAGTGAGCGTGACCAGTTCCGGCAGGAGATGATTCACACCCACAAGTAGGATTGCCTTTTTTTTTTGTCCCTAATCCAGACTACCTCTGCCCAAATTTCATTTCTGTCAGTTTATTCTAGGTCAGGAGAATCAAATAACTTTCCCCTGTTTCAGTAATACTCAACAAAAGGTGTTTGTGCTGATGGATAATAGTCACCTCTCAGTCTTGGAGCTGAAAAAGGCCTCAGGGGTAACACCCTGTAGAACTGACATCCCACCTATCCCCAGGCTTCCTGCATTTAACCACTTAGTGTCTTGACTTAAATTTCCTCTCTCTTCTTCCAAAATATACAAATGATTCTACCTACTTTGACTTTTTAGTGCTTATCCTGCCAGATGTCAAGTGAGTTTTACCAGCATCATAATACCACGTTGGTGAGGCCTTGCCTTGGAGAATAGCCTGTTTGCCTCCTTGGTTTTAAACACCTTTTTCCTTTTTCTGTTGGTTCACATTTAACTTGTGCAGTAAGTCCTAAACAGTTCCTCTGTGTGCTGATAGTACACAAAAAAAAACCCAAAACACTAATAGTGCTTTTTTTTTTTCCTTCCTGCACAGGCTGCTGGAGGAGTTGATGGTTTCTCTTCAGTGGGGGAGACAACAGACATACTATCCTAGTGCCCAACCTTACACTACAACAGAGCTGGCAGCTGTGAATTGTAAGCTAGCCAAAGCTGTGAGCTCACATCTCCTTGGAAACACCAGCACTAACAGTCCAAAAAACACCTCAACGGCCGTGGAGTTCTGCAATACCCCTGCTGAGAAAATGGCTGAAAAGGTAAGAGCTCTTCCTACACCCCAGCCTGTCAGCATGGAACCTTCTTTCCAGCAAGAAATATCTTGCTTTGTGTCCACTACTTACATCTTGCTTTTTGTCAAAAGCTATATGCAGCTGAAATGTGTTGAATAGAGCTGTCTCCCTTATTTAAAACAAAAAGACAACACCCTCACCCCACCCCAAAATAAAATACCAAAACCACACAAACAAAACCACAAAGAACTCCAAACAAAAAAAACCCAAAGAAACAAAAAAACAAGGGAATGATAAGCAGAACAAGAATAAATAATATGATGATAGCTGCTGTTTCCTTCTCTGTCCATAGCACCACAAATGACTGGGTCAAAATTTGTTCAGTGTGTTAGGGGGCTGCCCCTTGAAAATAATTAGCTGAGTTTAAAACCACGACTGGGAGAAGAGATTCAGGTAGGAATAAGTCATAACACTCCAACTGTAGTTTCTGTTGCCCTAAAACCCAGTTTTCTTGAAAGCAGGTGGAAGCACAGAGAGAAGCTATGTGGTTATCTTTCAAGATAAGGTCCCACAGTAGGAGGCTTGATGTTTAAGGAGCAGACTAACAGTCAAGTCTGAAAGCAGCTGAGTAATAACTGAGCAGCAGGAGGCTCACAGGGATCTGTGTTGTTCTTACCTGCTAAAAAGATCAGAATTATTTTTATTCTCAGTAAATAGGATTTCTGATAGACATTAATAATTTATAAACAGTACCTAGTGTCTTCATACTGAGGGTCTGAAGATGGATGTTTAGTTTTCAACTTGGAAAAATTGCTTTTGAGAGCAGGAATCCTTTTTAGCTGTTAGAGAAGGGTTCAACTTCACAGATGCTTTTTCAGTCTCAATTTTTTCCATCCTTAGGTGCTACGTGCACTGGATCCAGCTGCATGTACAGAAACCTCACCAGAAGTTTCTTTTTCTGAGACCTCTCCACCCTCCTTCCTTTCCACAAAGAAGCACATTGGAAGGTTTCACCCATACACCAGATATGAAGATGTAACTTTTAATTGCTGCCATCACTGCCAAGGGGAGCTGATAGCCCTTTGAAAACACAGCCAGTGCAACTGCCCCTGTACTCCTTTTTCCTGCTGAAGAATGACACTAGTGGATGTTCAGCCACCTTCCCTTTTCCCTGTTTCTGTTTCTCTGCCCCTTGACATCAGGATTTCCTTCACCTCTGGGATATTTCTACTACTTTTTCAGTCTGGAAAGCTGCTTACTGTCTTCTACAAAGGCAAGACCAAAAAAAATGTTATGCTGGTCCACTTTGTAGAGCATGGAGATGCCACTGACTGAGGTTTATAGTCTTGTTAGCAAATAGCAGTGAGTTTCTCTTTAGGAGACACAAGCCTGAATGTACCAAAGTAAATGAAATGCTCATAAATTATGTTTAACAAGAAAAAAGGGCAATGGGAAATGGTCAGCTCCATGCATTTTTTTTTATAAAATCTTAGCCACAGTGATGAATTGTCTTCAAGTCTGTGTTCAGCCTTTTAAATTTAGTAATTAAAAATGAATATGTGCAATGGTTCTTCCTAGCTCTCAAGCTGTGAAAGTAGGAGCCTAGAAGTGTTGCAGCCCTCCTGGCAAGAAGAGGAAAGAGTTTGAATGAACTTGAGCTGTAATACACAAACAGTAACTGGTTTTAAATAGATTCTGTCAGGGGATGTTATTCTTCTGTTTCCATAAAGCTAAAATAATGGATTTTTCCATCTGTTTCAGCTGCTGAGGTGAAGCTGTGGCATAGCAGCAAAGGCAGACTGATATGCCTCCTTTAATACAGAGTGCTAAAACCTGGCCTAGCATTAGAACTCAGCCCTTGCCCAAGGTCTTCCTGGGAATTAGAGGAAGCTGAAGTGAAGCACTAAGTTTGCACAGGTACTGGGAAAACAGAAAATGATTTTTTTTTAATTTGTATGGTTTTATAATCCTGATGTAGATTGGAAGACAACTTCTAGCAGATCATCTGCTAAATCCAAAGAAGTCTATTTAAGTTGCAAATAGAAAGAAAGGATCCAAATGTGCAATTTCTTGGTTTTAATCCCAAATTTATGAGGTGGCCAGGTAAAAGTTCTTGCTGTTGCTGGCCATGCTTTGGTTTGTCTGAAGAGGGTTACAATAAATATTCTTTGCTTACTTTCAGGTTGCCCTTTTGGATTGAATACAGCTGTATTTCTGACCTTGTTTTCTCTGCGGCCTAAAAGGAACTATGGGACACTGAACTGTAAAACCCTTCACTGGTCTGAGGTAGTGAAGCAAGTGCTTCTTTGTAGCTCCCTACCACTTGGGAGATAGCCTGAACCTCTGCAAACTTCCCCCCTGCATTTGCTTGCTAGGCAGAAGCAGCATTTCTTGCCCTTTGGAGTCAGGGGAAGGCCTCTGTTACTCATGTTCCTCATTAGAATGTGGTATTTTCATTCCTCACCCTTGCCCTTTATGCTGGCAAAAGCTGCAACCCCTCCAGTCTACCACCAGTCCTCTCTCAAGAAGTCTACAGCTATCTCCAAAACAGCAAGAGAAAAATAGTAATGGCAAATTTGCTTTGCATCTACTGCACTTCTCCCCATTCCAGTATTTCTGGAGAACTCTGTGGGAAAACAGAAAAACAATGCCAGAAATCTGTTGGACGTGCAGCTGGGTGGAATTCTCACATTCCACTAACTGCAGGTTCTCTGACAAGAGTTGACAGTTTAGCTGGGTAAGGTTTATGTAGTTTATTACAATTAATTTAGCAAACATAGATACATAAACAAGGACTCCAGCTTCCTTGCTATTGGGAAAAGTCATAATTCACACCACCTCTGAATTTCATTAAATAGAAAACTACTGAATAGGACTCACAGAACTAGGTTGCAAAAAACTGTTGCACATTCACATACATGTTACCCTTCAGTGACCACCTTCCCTGACTGCAATTAGAAAATAGTCCCCCCCAGTCTAGTCAGAATTAACACCTGGTCAACAGATCAGTAGGAACTGGTACAAGAAACAGCATTTTCCAACAACAGAACACCTTGTACAATCTTCATCACAAACAGCAATACTGATCCAGCAAAAATTCAACGTTTTCCACAACAGCCTGCATCCAGGAATTCAGGGTGGAGCTGGGTATAAAGTGCCTTTGAAAGACAGGAATGTGTATTTGCCACCCTCATCCATAGATCTTGCACTCCTTTAGATTGGGTGAAACCAAGAAGATCCCTGAGTTATAGATAAAAGCAGGCTTTGCAATAAAATGACAAATAAATAGGTAGTAAAACCATTGTCAGTGAAGGTAGTTGTTAAACTTGCTTTAAAAACACCACAAAAAGTCAGTAGCTGTAAAGAGCAAAAGCTCAAGCCATACAAATTAAGAGGGTTAACCACCAAGAACTCTGTGATGACATGAAAATTTCAAGTGTAATGGTCTGTGAAACGAAAGGATTTGGGCTCTGCATTAATACAGTGGATGTTCTGCATCTGTTTGGCTCTTCTGGCTTCTAATCTAAGCTGCCTTACCCTCTCTTTAGCAGCTAGTTCTTCTGCTCGTTTCTCTTCTCTCTTTCTTTTTAGCCATCTGTGGAGAGAGAAAGAGGACTAGGAGTACTGAGAGTTGCAGCTGGAAGTGTTACACCCTCCCCAAAAGAGAGCTGCCCCCCATTTCAACACAGTCCCATTTAAATAGAGAGAATTGAATCAACAGAAGCCTGCTCCAGGACAGGGGAGAAGAGGCAGGGCAGAAGAATCCCCCTTTTTCAGCAGAAGTAATTCACCAACCAATAAGGAGTTGAGCAGCAAAGATGCACCATAAAAGAACTACAGCCTTAAACTAAGAGACTACAAAATTTTCAGGTATGATTTCCTTAGGAATGCCCCTACTCACTCTTTAAAGGCTCTGTTGCACTCCTCTGTCCTGGGGAAAAAGGCAATTCCCTCAGCTTGGCGTCTCAGCATTTCTAGCTGTTTCTCCTTCATGTGTTCTTGGTGCTTCTTTTTAAGCCATAACTTGAAGGCTTCTTCTGGATTCCTGCTCCTGTCCTATTTAAATAATAAAAAAAAGATATATAAACAAGGTTTATCACTAAATGACCCTCTGCTGGCATCCCCCATTCACAAAACATGCTTTAGAAGCACACTAGAACATGGGAGGTGCCCCTGCCCATGGCAAAGGGATTGGAACTAGATGATCTTTAAGGTCCCTTCCAATTCAAACCACTCTGTGATTCCATGTGCTAATCTGACATGGAATTCATACATCAGCAAGCATTCAAAGTGATATCTTAAAAGAAAAACCCTAATTTTTAGCTTTTCAAGCCCACTACTCCAAGGCAGAGGAATTTTAGAACTGGAGCTTCACGTTTGGGTCAGGTCGTGTGCATTAACTGCCTGCCAACAATTTCTGAGGGGAAGACCCTCCAAAAAGGTGTCCTGGCTGCTTGTTCACTGCAGGGTTCAATCAAGTCATTCTCCTGATAACAAGGAGCATCATTGTATATAAATATATATAGAAAAACATGCCAGACAATCGAGCTCTGAAAACAATGTCACCAAAATCTCTCTTATCACTGTAAATTTCCACATGCCTGGCTAAGAACAAAGGCTCAGAGTTTGGTTTATCCTGTTTAACAAGAGCACTGCAGATCCCAGTCCTGCTTGAGGGAGATCTTACTTTGCTGCTCAAATCTTCCAGCTCCTTGGCACGACGAATTCGTTTTTCTTCTTGCACTTGTTCTTTCTTCTTCTGCAACCAGGCTTTAAAAACCATCTCATTTTCTCTTCTCTTCTGTTCTTCTTGTTCCCTTTTCCTTTCTTCTTCCTTCAAGGCAACGTTTAAGAGAATCAGCTTCATCTGCAAAGGCCTTCACAGGCAATAAATAAACCACTTGAATTATAGGAGAGGCACAAAAATACTTAAGAAACAGGAATACTCAATGACTGCATCATAGTTGATGGTACTTTTAGGCAGAAACAAATATTCTGCAGTTCTCATTAGGTTCCAGTCCTTTTGGGTATAACCTTCTTTGTGATGACCTCCATTTCCATGCTACCACTTCACTCACAGACATTTCAATAGCACCAGGTGAAAATTCTGAACATTAAGCCCACCCAGTAGCTCTGATGGGCTTAAAATCAGTTTAAACTGATGGATTTTAAAAATGAATGCAGCTCTCAGGCTTGATGAACCACTAAAGCCCTAAAGGATATTTAACTACCTATGGACTGCAGGCACTACCTTCTAAATAAGGATTTTGTTTTTCTGGACATGAAGTTGTATTTACTTAAGGAGTATTAATAGTTTAACACTTTTTCCACGTTTACAAAATGAACTGATTGTTATAAAATGGAGAAAATTTGGGTTTTTTTTAATTATTAATTGCATTTTAGCTAATGATGAGTATCTACAAGGAGGAGAGAGGTTTTCAAACAACACTTCTGATTAGGACATTTTCTCAGGTTTTGAGTCTCTGACACAAAAGCTGCAATCCCCACTCATTTCAACACTCAGCAGATGGATTCCAGTCATGTCAAGAAAGGTTTCATGCCTGTGAAATCCATCACAGAATGGAAGAACCCATTCAGGAGTGAAGAAATAAGGCAATCCATTCTTACCTTGTGGTAAATCAGCCAACAGAGGGAGGGATTGAACACACAGTCAGGAAAATGACCCCCCCTTACCTCCACCACACTAGTTTGTGCTTCAAATATGCAGAGGATGGTGTCAAAAGATCAGTCTTGTGTGTGCAAAGGAGACACCTAAGTCATCTTCACACTTCATGCCCTTCATTACTGATCTTTGGTAAAGATTTCTGAAGTCCTGTTACAGCCAGGGGCTGACTCTTTATTAAATTTTATTTTTTTTCTGAATAAGGAGCTGAGAAAGAATTAAAAGTTGTGTGGGTTTTTTTTCTGATAATACACAAGATACTGATTTGATTTTCTAAAGGAGATTTTTTTGTTTTCTTTTTAAATTACTGCCTTTTATAGAAACAAGAAGAATAACCATAGTACTGGGAATATTTTATGTCTTTTTGTCCACTGTGTAGCACCCATATAAAACCAAAAACATAAAAGTAGTATCAATGAGCAGAGAAAGGGGGGAAAAAATCCTATTTTGCAATAAACTTACTCCAACATTCTGCCATGGAAAACCTTTACAGGAAAAAAGCATCCAGTCAACATGACTTCACCTGCAATGCATCTGGAGCAAGCCACAAGGCTCACCACTTGTGAGGCCAGCTGCACCTTCCCTTTGTCCCTCCTCACAGTCACTCTCCTGCCTCCCTCTTAGTTAATGACTGAATGCTCTCCCATGTGCTAATTGCCCCCTCCAGCACTCAGAGGTGCACCCACATTCCTGTGGTTAACCTGAGCTTATCCTGGGAGCAAGGCAGGATGTTTTGCCACTCTGTGGTGGTTCTCTTTTAAGGAAAGGAGTGTCAAGACATCCTGTACAAACTCCCAAAGAATTATTCTTATTATTACTGCCTGTTTTATCATGGAGGAATGGAGTGAATGCCCTCAATGGGTGCTCTCTATGAAGCAGAGGAACAACATGGTCACCGTGATCCACTCGTTGCCTCCAGATCTTTACCTCTTTCCTCAGTTTTTCCTTCCTCTGCTCCAACTGCTTCCTCAGTTCCTTCTGCCTGGGAGAGAGGCAGTAGGTGGAGCTCCTCACGGGCACATTTGCAGACTGCACCCTCTGTGGGGCCTTCCTTTTGCCCAGCCCCCTGGCAGCACCCAGAGCAGAGCTCGGCCGACGCTTGGGGTTCGAGGGAGGCTTAGGGAAGTACACAGAGGCTTCACCAGGAGAAGAATGAGCTCCTGGCCCTACTGGAGGGACCTCCTTCATTCTGGAGACAGCCCCAAAAGGACCACAGTGGGAAGACTTTGGGGATGGATGTTGAGTTTCAATATCAGTAAAAGAAACACTGATTGGAGGCAAGAAGCCCTGGCTTTCAATATCACGTAGGCTTAAGAGTTCAAACTTCCCATCTTTCTCCACTAGGATTTTACCATCCTTTTCCTCATCCTTGCCAGCACGTGGTGACAGTGATGTGCTCCCTTGTCCCATTTCATTGGAAATATGCAGCTGAGAGAGCCTGTTTGAAACATCATCTCCTCTAGCAAGATCAGGTTTACCAACTTCATCATCTTCTAGAGGAGGAACTTCAAGATCCACCAACTTCTCCTTAAATTTCAGTTTCCTTTCTCTGTTCTGGTCCACAGGAGCCTGAGTCTCCAGCAGCTTGTTGGCTTCTTCAATCTTCTCCAAGATGTAACGTTTTATTTCTTCATCCTCTTCCTCATCCAGTTCCTGCTGGTTTTCCAGCTTGGATTCCTGGATGGAGCTTTCACTGTCAGTATCAGACACATGGTCCCCCAGCTTAAGATCAGACCTGGATTCCAAATTTTCTTCCTTGGAGGGTCTCACTTTCTCATCTACAGCTGCCTCTGGAAGCTGATCTGGATTTTCTTCCATGTCCTCATTGTCTTCCTCCAAGTCATCTGCAACTTTAACACTCTGTCCTTCAACATCCTCTTTGTTTTTTTCAGGATTCTAAAAAAAATGAAAACAAACCAGTCTATTCTCCCAACAAAGAACAGGAAAAGAAACAGCAAGAGAGAAGAGCAGTTAATATAGTAACCAAATCACTGAATTGTTTTTCACTCTAATTCCAAATCCTGTTCCTTGTCAGAATTCAGTGAATGTCCCTACACATTTCAAACCCTATCCTTAAATTCTTTCCAAAAAAACAAACAAATCCAATTTTGTGCTTCTGATTTTAAATACTGCTCAAGTTTTGTCTTCTCAGGCAGCTTATGATGGAATCATTACAGCAATTTAATAACAGATACCTGTCCTTGCCCAAGGTTTTCCTTTTCTTCTTCATTAATGAGCCATTCAAGGTCCTTTTCAAAATCATCCTCATATTCTCCACTTTCTGTCATATTGGCTGGATCTCCTTGCTCCTCCTTGTCACTCATTTTGGTGACCTGTTAGAGTAATACTACAAACTGCAGAGGGGAAAAACAAATGGTTTGAAAACTCCAATGACACAAAACTACACAACATTGGGGCTCTCTCAGGGCACCCACATCAAATTTGTGAGCAGCATCAGCAGGCCCACGTCAGACACAACCACAGGACTGAAGGATCAGCAATGGATAAACATTTCTGGCCCTTCCAGCTCTGAGTATGACAAAAGATTTGAGTGAAAGCACATCAAGGTGACTCAATGTCTTGCAGTAAGTCTCTGACAGAGCTAAAACTCATCATCTCTTCACTGTTAATCTCCTGCTTGGACAAAAAGGCCACTGGATTATGTTTGTTAGAAGTACTATGAGCTTTCACTGCTCAGTTTTCACATTCTTGTTTTAGATCCACCAATAACAACACTGAAGGTGAGACACTATAAGGATGAGAATCTTTTAAACAATCTTTGAACAGCATAGCAGTCAAAAAAAAGCTCCTGTTCTCTTAGTACCCTCTGCTGTAGGCTAGGTCTAAGTGTCTCTAGGAGGCCAAATCTGTGTCATCTCAATTCCTACAAGCTCTTGTTTTAAGTTCTGATGAGCACCTCCAAGTTCTCAGGTTTTTATTCTCAGGAAGACTAGCTCCAGTTCTTAAAACTCTTTATTTCCTGTTTGACAAGAGTGCTGCTCTTTTAGACCTCAAAATTTAGTCAGGATTTGTTTAGAAAGTGAGCTGGTTTGGGCTGGGATAGAGTTAATTTTCTTCACAGTAGCTGGTGTGGGGCTGTGTTTTGGAATGAGTGAGCAGCTCATTTGTATAAAAACCTTTATAAAAGCTTTTCATTTGATCTGTATTTTGTTTGAGAAAATCTGGCATTTTTTTCTCCTAATTCACTTCCTTTTTGCCACGAGAATCACTCATTCACCCTAGATTTCTCAGAGCCTAATTTTCAGAGCTTGTTCAGCCTGTCACCTTGGCAATTCCACACTGTGTCTATCTCCATCCTGGTTTTCCTGCACCTCTTCTCACAGCACATGTCATAATTTTGGCTGGGAAAAGCCCTTTCCTTCATCAATATCCTTGGTTTGGGTGGTAGCACATACCTCAGTTCTTGATGGAGGTTTGCTCTAGCCCATACCCTGCACAAAAGAACCATTTCTCTTTAACTTCCTCATTCTGGCGAGTCAACACAAAAGCTACAAAGCTGAACTGTGCCTTTAAAAAAACACATTCATTTCCATCTGCGGCACACAAATACTGAAAACCATTCGATTTATTTAGGAAAC